TTAATGTCCCATCATATCGANCGCGTCTTCCCATAATTAATACCAAGACGGACCTCACCTTCAAATTTTTGTTGTTTTTTCTTAGAGAAGGAGCGTGGTAGCGCACCACGTGCGTGGGGCCCCGCTTACATGGGGCGACACTCTCGTGGCCTGAGCTGCCTACTCTTCGTCGGAGTCGGGGTAAAGGCCGCTGGGCTTGAATTTGAAGTAGTCCTCGAGTGACCTCGAGCTACAGGGTGGTAAACTGATTAAATCCTACTTGGGCGTACTCGGGGAGGTGTCGGGCGACTTCCCCTTGCCCCCCGGCGAGTTCCTGGCACCGACTTTCTGGGCCGGTCGGTCGCCGCCGCCGCCGCCGCCGCCGCCGCCGCCGTCGTCGTCGTCGTCGTCGTCGTCGTCGTCGTCGTCGCGCGCGCGGGGGAGATTAGAACCCAAGTCAGCCACAGGGCGACCACAGAGAGGCGATGAGTTGCCCCATATCAGCTGTCACGATATGTAAACCTGGAGCTGCAGAAATCGAGTGGGGGCGCGCCCCACAGTCGCAGTGATCGAAAATCTCGTCGCAGGACGCCGCCAGCAGGATTTTTTGCGCTCCCGCCTCGTCGTCGCTAGCGCACGCGCGATTCGTACACCACCTAGCGCGAAACGGCACGGCGCCGGCGCATCACATCATCGATAGCGTTATCCGTCGGTCGAAACGAGGGGTCCGTCTCGAGCGGGGTCCGTCCTGATATTTTTGCGATCAGGAAATAAATCTCTAAATAAATGCAAATAAATATGAACGGGCAAATGGGGCCTATAACTGGGCAGCTACCCCGCTTACATGGGGCGACACTCTCGTGGCCTGAGCTGCCTACTCCTGGTTGGGGTCGGGGTAGAGTGTCTTGACGTCCCACTTGAAGTGGTCCGCGGCGATGATGTGCTTCATGGCCTCGGTGAACACGTCAGGGTCGTGTTGTGGAAAAGCTTCTTTCATGAACTCCTTGACCGGAGCCGAGGTGGCGAAGATGTCGACAATGAGTTTCTTGAAAAGGTCGCTCTTGCGTCCCTTCGGCATCAAAGTCTCTCGGATGTCGTACTTTGTCGTTTCGACCAAAGCAGCGCGCGCCTCTGCGTCCATCTTCGCTTTCTTCACACATTTGTAGTCCTCCGATTGCCAGTAGCGCTTCGCCCCGCGGCATTCTGGCTCTTTGTCTTCAAGGCACGTTGGGCATATCCACTCGTTTGTCCAACTAATGTCGTTCTGGATGAACTTCTCGCCATAGTTTTCTATGCATGACAGACACGCAATTGAGTCGTGGTGTTTCCTATGCTGATGGCACACGTCACAAGAGACCGTGTACTCGTCAGGTACCAACTCCTTGCACTTTTCGCATGTGACTTTCGCATTCATTACTTTCGGGGTCCGAATTACAGTAGCGGGGTCCGTCTTGATATAATTGTGCGCCGGTGGGGTCCGTCTTGATATTAATTTGTGCGGGGCGCCCGGGGCCCCCACCCTTCACTGCATGTGCGGTCCGTATCTTGTGAGGAACTCGTCGATGCTCGTGTCCTCGGGGAGCGGCCAACCGGGCGTGTTGACGTCATGATTTTGATATTAATTTGTGCCGGCGGGGTCCGTCTTGATATTAATTTGTGCCTGCTGGCCACCCTGATATTTATGCCCACCTCTCGACGCGCCACCTTTGAGCCACGCTCCGCTCGTACACCGCAGCCTTGCGCAGCAGCCTCGAGGGCACCCCGCGCCGTGCCAGTGAACGAGATGCGGACCAAGCTCACTGGTCTCGTACTCGACCACCTCGAATTTGCGGACGTGCTACATTTGCACATGATGACCAACTCCGCGAAGCCATATTTCGCCAGAATCGTGATGAAGAAACTGCTGGAAGAGCTGAGCATGGGCCATTTCTACGAGCCTCTGATTCAGTGCGGCGTCGTGAGCATTCAAGTGCTGCAAGACGAGGGGCTCATCTCGAACGATGAGCTGGAGAACCGCATTGGCATGGGCTTCGTACACGTTCGAAAGCTCCGCCGCCGGCTTCGGGCCTGTCTCACTCCTGCCACACACCAATCCCTGATCCTGCACCAGCGGCGACGGCTCCCGCGCTCGCTGCCGCCGCGCCGGAGCCCGCGGCCGAGCCGCGCGAGGCCCAGAGCACCCGGAGGCAGATCACAGGCTACATCTGCAACTACTCCATCGCGTCGCGCAGCCTCTGGAGGCACCCCCCTCCCCCCCCCCTTCCCCGACAAGGCGCTCGTTACCGAGGAAACTCAATTAATTTTAAAGGATTTTTTATTAAGATGCATAAAACCACGACAAGTACCTAGGCAGCTCTAGGCAGCGGGCCGCGCAGGCGGATCCCCGCCGATGCGAGGCCTGGACTGCGGGTGGGCTCGAGAATCTCGGGGCTGCAACCCTGGTACTGTGGCTCGTGCGCCCTAGCTCCAGGCGGCGCTGGCTAAAAAATCGATAAATCCTCGATAAAATGGTTATGGGAGGTGCATCTTAGTGTTTTTTCTGCGATGTGGGGTCCATCTTGGTATTTTTCCACGCCAGTGGGGTCCGTACTGACATTTTTTCCAAAGAAGACGCCGAGCGGGGTTCCTTTTGATGTTTCTCTCCGTGGTGAGGTCCTTTTTGAACCTTGGTACGGAAGTGAGGTCCTTCTTGATTTTGATCCTAATTAATAATTTCTATGGCCGCTAGCCCTATGGTTGTTCCGCGCACTGCTCAGACATCATGTCAGTAGAGTACGACTCGACTTTTTAGAATGTCTCCCTGGTTTCCTGAGAGTGTAGGCTGGTTCGTGGCCTGTGGTTGGTTTTGCAGCGTCGCTTCGGGCGCACCAATAGTATTGAGCCATACATTTGCTGCTATCGGCTTCATCCTAATCGCTTCGGATGAGCGCAGAGCCAGTACTGGCAAATCATTCGAGCAGTTTGGCAAGGAGCAATGCGATAGATTGAATAGAAGTGCCATGAGGAGTCAGACGCATCCGAAAATGATAGCCGGGGATTTTGTTACGCGGGCAACCTCTGGCGAGGATGCGGTAGGGGAGATGCTCCCTGAGTGTGAAACCCTGCTTGCACAAGACCTCGGGCAATTGCTTGACAATATCATGGAGATGTATGTGCTGCCATGGTATGGTAAGATTAGCGAAGATGCAAACTTTCCGAATGAGCTCCGCGCTGTACTCGCTCGAGCGCTGGGAGATGTATGTTCGCGCATGCTGGACCAAGTGAATCTTGTGTCTCTCATTTTGGATGGCTGTCTGGACGCACTGACCCGTCAAATCAAAGCGCATGGTGTGATGCGGGCCAGCTGCGAGTATGCCGGGATAGATCCTAAGACAGACATAGTGGCTTCGCGGTTGCGGCACCTTGAAGCTATCAAACGGCGAAATGACGCCACAATCCGAAAACTCAGGAAGATAGGAAAACTCCACCCAGCTGTTGGTTGCGGAGACGAAAAAACCTCTGCTGGAAACAATGTGGCCTCCTGTGAGTTGCGATATCTCACCCAGCTCTCTGGGCGCCTGACCCAGCTCCTGCTGACGCAAGAGGACAAGAAATGTCGAGCGGTTAAGTATCTCGTTGGCCACCGTGTCGAATCTCTATCTTCAGATTTTACAAAATCATACCACACGCGCTGACGCACTGATGGCAATACATCGGAGGGTATTTTAAATTGAAACCATCACAGGTCCGAGAGCTTCTGGTACATGTTGTGCTCGGGCGGTGTCCTCTAGGCGATTTAATTAGCAGCGAAAATTGTGAGCTGTCGTAGGTGTTTGTTCCAATATTGAACGCGATCTCCCCCGAAACCATTGCTCTGTGGCTCACCAACGCACTTGCTGGACGTCGCAAGTCTCTAGCCGATGACGGCAAATCAAGCGTGCGAATCGAAGCTTCTATACAGAACAAAAAGCTTCCACAGGATGGGCATAGGATGGGCAGTGTATGTGCCGGCAAATGTCTCGCTGGTTTCCAGTCAGACGATGCCTGGATTCATTTTGGTGGTGAATTAGATGCTGCTGCTGCACTTTCACATCTCAAGAAAGAGGGTCAGTATCTGTGGCGCGTGGAGCCGGGAGCATTCACATCGCGTGCCCTCGACGAACCTGTCGAATTCATTCTATCGTATGCCGCTTCCGACGGCAGTAATGTCTGTCACGTGATATTTTTTGGAGTGCCATTGGGCTCTGATGGAGATGCAGGGTTCGAATACTTGAGATTCGGGGGTGGGAGCCGAGATCCACGTCTCGTGGACCGAAAGCGCGAACTTACAATTTGTGGCCTTGTCCCGTCTCTCCGAGAAGTTGTCAGCTTACATTTTTCTGATGTTGCGTTTTCAGGCGTCTGCTTCACAGACGTTGGTAAGACTCCGCCACTGGTCCCGCCTACTGCCGCGGCTCTTAGCAAGGATCCGAAAGCAGCGCTACGGCAGAGGACACCCATGCCACACCTTGGCACTAACGTGCGATCTGGCGTGTGAACACCGTGTTTTAGTGTGAGTTTTCAACGACTCGAGAACACCTAGGTTGAATCGCTTTTCCGGGAGCAGCTCAGACACGTGTTGCTCATTGAGCTTCAGGCAGCGGTGGAGATGGCAGAAGACGTCTCGTCCACACTTCCAGGTCGTACGGGCCCTTACCATAAGTTCCCCCGCGTGGGGCGCGTTGTGGGTTTAATGATGCAGCAAGGTACAATAGCCAAGTCAAAGAGACCAGTTACCCAGAGCGACTGGTGTCATGGGCGAGGTCCACATGCTGCCTTGCGCCTCCTCAAGGCCATCGATGCTACTCTTGCCCACGGCGGCGTTTGTATTGCCACAGATGGCGACTCTACTAGGACAGCACGTGCTTTTTATTGGGACTATTTCTCCCATGCAGCGCGCGGCGACTCGAAATCAGTCTTTCTCCGCAGCACCGCAGCCGCAATGTGCCCCGAAGCTCTGGCCGTCTGTGATGAGTTGGTTGGAATAACTGCGGCCAATTGTGCGCTTCAGACAAGGCGCGGAGCCGCAGAAATGGCCTGGCTCGTTGCTGCACTGCGCATGCGTACACTCCATGGCTGTCTTTATGAAGCAGCTGCAGACACAGCTGTAGATGGAATGGCCTACTACACGGCGGACTCAATTTTTCTCGAGCCCAACGACTATGGTCGTCTTCTCTGGTTTGCCAAACGGATTGATGCGCTCGACATGGAGCCGCCAATTGATGCCCTCCGACGGGATTACCCCGAGCTTTTCGCTTACTGCTCTTCTCATAGAAACAAACATGTTGTCGAACCTCGAACGCCATTCTCGCCGCCACCAAGAGACGCCCATCCCTCACGCCACCCCCAAGTCAATGTTAAATCCCGCAAATCTGGTGATAACGACTCAAGCAACGCGATTGACAAAAGCGTGGACGTGGTGCTTGCATGTCAACGACGAATTGCGATTGCAGCTACCCTTGAGACACGGTCAATGACAGTGCCCTCAAGAGTAATAGGATGCTCACAAGGCCACAGCCCTGCAGCAATCAAAGTCAATTATCTGCTTCGACATCGTCCAACAAGTGAGTCTCTTATCGCGAGGGGCATAATCCGAAGCGGAGCCTGGCCTAACATTGAACTAGCCCGCCGCTGTGAACTTCTGACAGAGCCTCAATTGCAAATCGAGCAGGGCTGCGAGCAGCTTGAGAAGAGACCAATGACCGCACCGTGTAACGCTGGGCACCTTGACTCATTTCGAGATGAGGCCCAGGCAGCAACATATTATCGAATTTGGTTGTTGCAAGCGACGACGGCGGGTGGCGAGAAGCGAGTCGTCCCCATCTCTCGCGACAGTATAGCTCCGCCCTATGCACGGAAGCGATTTCGTGACTTTTGGTCTCTGCGTGAAGCACTTGAAGCTAGCACTGGTTCGTCAGTGCGAGTACCCGGACTCCCGCCTCGGGGATTTTCACGTACTAAAGTGACCATGGAAAAGCGCCGTGCGGGTCTGGAAGAGTTCCTCACAGCCCTCCTGGCCGACCCTTGCTGGCGCCATTCTCATGAACTTGGCAAATTCTTGACCTGCAACATCTCTGAGCCCCGTGATAGTGACTTGAATATCGAAACTGAAGATGAGGGCAATTCTAGTTCCAGCGATCACGAGCCAAACACGAGGAATTTTTTGGGTCACGATGCCATCAATGGCATAACACCGAGTCGAGCACCACCGTGGAGCCCAAGTGCAAGAGATGAAAATGGAGTAAAACCGCAACTCCCGTCACCCATTCGCACCATGGGTCTTGTATCCGCGCCTTTCATCGCAGCCGCTGGTCTGGTCGCGCCCAATTTGGGAAAGGACGACGCCACTTTGAAAATCCCTCACCTGCGCCAGCCAACTTCAGCAGACTGGCGTAAGCTTCGGCGCGTCGAGCATCACTGTTATGCCCTGCTGCGAGTGCTCTTTGAAATCGAGCGCCTCGGTTTGCTGCGCCGTAACTTTGTCGCTCTCATTCGCCGTGTGACAACCACGCTCTGGTCCCCCTCACTTGCTGCTTGGCTTGGAGATCAGGCCAAACGTAAACACAAAGTGCGATCGTTGTCCGGACTTATAAGCAAACTAAATGGGTTCTTGTGGCAGAATAGCTGCGAGAATGACACCCGTCTCGACCCTCGGGGTCTGGCTGATGCTGTTGCCGTCGTGCGCAGAGACCTTGTTGCGGCGGTGCCCTCGTCGCTTGTGTCGCTCCTGGGTCAGAAGGCCACCGAAGATGCTGCAGATAAGCTCCTTGAGCTCGTGCTTTGCCCAATTCAGCTCCGCAGCATCACACTCACGCTCCTTGACCTCGTCATTGTCGAGATATTTCCTGAGCTTGAACTCGAAGTTGCCGGCTTGGAGCACCTCGCCTAGATGCGGGGGCGAAGGCTCTGGGGAGAATTCGACCCCTCTGGTTTTGTAAAACACGTGATGGAGAAATGCCAAAGATCTCGCCTGGAACCCGGCGACAATGGCAGCTCAGGAACAGCACGTGGACACTAGCTGTCCATCCGAAGACTCCAAACCGGCGTTGGTAGCTTTACAAAGTGACCAGCCTCATGACCTGAGCGATAGAGAGATTTCTATTCACCTGGCGGCTCGCTGGTACAGAGTCGCCCTGGGACTTCCTTCCCCCCCCAATACGGCCTAACCCTGCTATAGTTGCGTGTCGCACTCAGGCTGTTCAGCCCGAGTCTCAACAATCGTATCCTGGACGAGCTCCTTCAAGGACTCTTTCTGTTCATCAAGGAATTCTGGGGAGGCATAGAAGGTCTTCTGATCCTGAAGCTTCTTGTCCAGTTTGATTCTTAGAGAGATAGAGAGATTTCTACCCTTAGAGAGATAGAGAGTTTTGTATCTCCCTAGTGGCTCGCTGGTACAGAGCCACCCAATATCCTTTCCCTTCCTTAATACTTTCTAACCCTGCTATAGTCGCGTCCCGCACTGTAATAGACGGAAAGTCTTCCTGGACCTAGTGAGGCAGATCCTCTGCCCGTTCGTCCAGTAGCCCCAAGTCGCTCCAGTAGCGCCTCCCAAAACCAGGCGCCAGCGGAGGCGGGGCGGAGTCCGGAGAGCGCCCGGGTTCAATGACACCTCCCTACCTCTTACTTTCCTTGCGGTGCGCGATCAAGCCATATGGTGAATGCAAAGCGACTGCGCGTGTTGGTCGGTCGGACTTCATGCCATATGGTGCGGCTAAAAAACACAACTGCACGACCGGCAAGAGGGCCAATGACTTCAATCGCGCCATCTGCACCGTGAATGATCAGCTCACCACCATCTTCCTCGGTCCAGCCTATGTTTGGGTATAAAACGATGGTGAGATCGCGGTGATTCGAAGTTTCATACGGGTACCAGTCTTTGTGCTTGTAGTAACAGGCGCCCGTGAAAGCAGGATAGCAAGCACACATAACAGTCGGAGGTACATTGACGGAGACTAATGCTCTGCCACCCTTGCAATTGAGCCTGTCCATCAGCTCTGCAGGCAGGCCTACAAGCGCGCGTAGAGCACTTCGCAGCGCAAACGCCTTCGCGAATGCCTCCTTCTTCACGGGATGCCGCCCAATCTCTCGCTTAATGACGTTGCTATCCGGTTCTGGTCCAGCACCAGCCATGGTTGGGATTGAAAGAGAGAACGACCCGTTATTGCAGGCGTCACTGCTTACGGGACCAAAAAGTTCACCGCGTTGAAGCGCACTGTTAAAGTGATTGTAGAGGACTCGACAGTCCGATGTCGAAAGAACATCTTCTAGGATGCAGAAGCCTTTCTCTGCAAGTCCGAGGGCGGCATCGGAGTGCCCCTGGACAATCCGGGCTGCGGTCATCGTACGAAGCGATTTGGCTGGTGTCATCTGGCGCTGCCTACTCAGCTCGAGGCGGATGGCTTCCTTCGCGACGCGCCCGGCAAGGATAGATTCACTCTCAGCGAGCTGCGCCTCCATTGTCCCTGGCTCCCACAGGTAGGGGAAAACACCAGTCGCAGAGAGCACCTCACGACCACCCGGTCTAGCTGCTAAGCGACGTGCTGCTGCACAGCTTGCAGAGACAAGTCTGACCGCTTTGCGGTGCAGTGCCTCTCTCGAAGCTTCATGCCCAAGCCCGGAAGTGAGCGAACAACGATATGCTTGGCGAGCAGAGGTGAGGTGCGCGGTTTCTATTCCCTCCCCAAGCAGCGGCAGCACCGTCGCACAAGCCGCCCAGCCGTGGCAAAGTAGTGCACGCCGCAAGCTCTCACATGTTTGATACTTTGAGAGTCCTAGCATGGCAGCTGTTGCTGACACACTGGTTTCATGCACGGCGGCCATACTTTCAACTATTGCTTGGACATGTGTTGTCTCGCCTCGATGGAGCATTTCCCGGCGAGCTGACATTGGTGACGGTCGTCGTCGCACATGTACGTTCGAGATCCCGCATAGTGCTTCCTCAACAGATCTTTTGAGTGAAACAGATTCACCCGCTATGAACACCTCCAAGTCAGAAGCCGATAGGTCAGCACCTCGTTTATCCTTGAGACGAGATACAAAGGCCATGACAAGCACAAAGATTTGTTTTGCATACCACTTTCTTGGCACCGTCAAACGCACAGAAAATAACGTCGGCGAAATCTCCAAGCGATCATCAAGCGTGAGTTGCACCACACGACTGTTGGAATTGCTCACCATCTTCACCCCAATGTACAAGTATCTCCTGAGAATAGATTCAAACCTTTGCGTTCTATCTAATTGGGAGATGGTTAAGATGGAGGATACACGGCAAAAGGACTTAAAAAAGGAAGCCTCCAGAAACTACCATTGATTATAAGGCTATTGGCTCCAACCCCACCAACACAGCAATTTCCTTTATCTAGCTGTGTATTTCCGTCCAGTTGGCTTTGTTATCCCCCACTAGCTAAACGAAGCATGAGATAGCAAGGTAAATTCCCCCGCAAGGGGAGGCCGGCCTCAGTTGAAGTAAGGAATGCCAAATATGAAGGCCGATGGGCCGCGGCTCCGGCTCTGAGGAGGCTCCCCCGGTAAAATCGTTTCCGTAGAAACGACCCGTAGTGACGCGCTCTAATACGAGTCCGACGCGTCGGATGGGAATCCGATGTCCAATCCGACCACTCGATGATCGCGTTCTGCGCGGCGGCCGCGCGTCGCTCCGCGGCCGCGTTCGCGCGCGAATAAAACCCCGAAAACGGTACCTCCGGGGACGACCGGACAACCGAGCGATGACGCTCGCCGGCGTCTGTCGGCGGGGTGTCGGTGGCCACTTAAGTGGGAATGACCCCACGTCGATAGCCGAAGTCACACTGTGGCACACTCCAACATCTCGTCAAGGTGCCGCCACCAGCACCAAAATAGCGCGGTGTATGCGACGGGCCAGGACCGCTTCCGGCGGGAGCGAGGAGGCTGCGCGGGACACGGCGCGGCCGCGGACCGAGGACCTCGAGGACGGCGTGCCGCTGCCGCTGCGTGCGCATGGTCTGGAGGCGCTTCGGGCGCTCGCGGCGGCGTCGGCGAACACGGCTGAGCGTCGCGTCCAGAAGAAGAACATCCAGTTCGACGCAGCGCGGAGCTCGTGGCAGCACCTCTTTGACCCGAGCAAGTCCGACTCCCTCGTGGCTCGGGGCTACGCCACCAAGGGCAGCACGGGCGCTGACTACGGCCGCTACTGGATCACGGCCGCGGGGCTCGAGTACTTCGCGGCCGTCAAGTACGTCGCCCATCGGCGACGGGCGCGTCGGCGTCCGGCAGTACACCTGCTGGTGCAAGGCGTGCCTGGGGTGCAACGGACGCGTCATGGAGGAGGGCACGGCGGCGGCGCCGACGGCCCGCGTCGACGGGTGCGCGTCGGTTATGCGCCGCGTCCACCTCGAGCTCACGGACGCGGCCGGCGCGCGGCGGACGCGCGCCATGCGCTTCAGCGACGGCGAGTCCATCGCGCGGAACCTCAAGGAGGCCGCCGTCTTCGCGTGCGCGACGCCCGCGCACGGCTACCAGGACGAGTTCGACCTCTTCGTGGCCGCGAAGGGCCCGCGCGACCGCGTGATCGAGACGCTTCCCGCGGACCAGGAGATCAACGGAATCAACTTCAAGAAGGGCCGCCTCCTCGTCTACTGCCACGACCTCGCCCGTGTCCACGAGGACCCGGACCGCCGCAGCTTCGTGCTCGAGCCGACGCTCCGCGCGGTCGAGGCGCGGATGGTACGACGGGTCGGCGTCGTCCTCGAGGACACGCGCGCGGCGCCAACTTTGGGCGGCGTCGCCCCCGTCGTTCCTCAGGCCTTTCCGGGCCTTCGCAGACCGCATCCACACCATCTCCGACGGCGAGAGTGCCGCGGTCATCGGCGCCTGCGACGGATGAGCGCGCGCGTCCCGCGCCACTGCGCGCGCGTCCCGCGGAGCATAATTCCCCGGGATTTCAATGAAAATGCCTCCAAGGAGGCGAAATCGACGAGGAATCGGGGTGTTTCGGTGGAACAACGGTTCTTTAAACGCGGCTATGGTTTACGTTAAAATCGAGGTCTGCTGGGGGCCCCTCCGCGTGGCCGGAGCCCCGCGCTTGGATGGCGCAGCCACCTCAGCAGGGACGGAGGAGGTAGGGCGGAGGGACTCGGCGGATGGGTACAAGCCCGTGCCGCGGACGCCGGGGAGGGCCTTGCCTGGGCGAAGATAGTACACGCCAGTATCCCAGCCTCTGCAAACTTGTGGATCCAGCGACCTTATCTTCCGGATTCCGGGGCGGTAGCCCTTAGCCGCCTTGATCACCGGTCATCTAGGAAACACGGAGGTGTTCCTCGTTAGTCATCGTTCCCCCCAGGGCGAGCTCAACTTTTTCGGCCCTCATTGCCTTAAAACCTCGGCAGCTGTGCACTGATATCGCCGGCAATCGCCGATGGTGCAAGGCCAGCTGATGATTGTACAAGAGAGAAGATGCAAGATTTGTTCTCAAATGCCGACCTAGAATTCCAGGGAAGCTCTTCCTGAAACCAGATAGCGTTGCAGAGCGGCTCTGTTGTGGAGGGGGTGTGGAGTTCCCAAAAGATGTCTCGCTTGTCGAGTGCAAGTCGGTAGAGCGTGTACTCGCTCCACCACATCCTGAAACCCCACGACCTAATTAAAGGATCTCATTCATGCAGTTGAGGTCAAGTAGTTCCGTGAATGTTCACGATTACAAAAGTGATTTCAACGCGAAATTTTTGAACTCGATCCACACCTGCCCCCAATTTGAGTTTTTGAATCTCTCTCTGATCAGTGCTGTCGTGACAAGAGCGCCCATCGTCGAAATGATTGCGGGAGTTACACCGAACATTGCGTCAGGAGAAGCGTCTTCGTTGAGCCCAAGGACCTGGGAAGAACCATCCCACCAGTGTGGGTGAATGCTCCTCGGCTCTGCCGCAAACCTAGCGGCATCTGTTGTGTCAAAAAATATAGTACACATGAGCGCGGGCACCGCACACGCCCTTACCACCGGGAAAGAGCTCTGTCAAATCAAGAGGGCCAACAACAATGTTATCTGCGTCAAGAGTGATATAGTATTTGGTCGTAACACGTTGTGCCACAACAAGCTTCAATGCCATTTGGAGAGCATACTTGGGCCAAGTAGACTGAATCATTCCATCAAACAGTGAGGATTCCTCGACGATTGAAATCGCGAGACAATGATTTACCTGCTTGAGGATATCTAAGGCAAAAACATGCGCATCGGGCACAACAACGAGGAGCTGAGTAGGGCACCATAAAAATGTACACGTGCACAATTGGAATTGGGACTTACCTCGTGAATGCGCTTTCTCTCGCACAGCTCGTGTGCTCTTATTGATGCAATTAGCATTAGTGCACGATGTGCATCATCTATGGTAAGCCTAGTCAGCCGTTAGTGAAGCACAGTAGATCTATTGTCAGATACACGGTAATTGCGTTAAGACGAGAGTTACCCTAGGCCTGCTTCCGACCTGCGAGCAAAAATGCATAAGCGGTCTACGGACCGAATCACAGGCGGCGATCATGCACTCACGGAATGGAGTCCTGAGACTGATTCTTGTGATGACATTTTATCTTTAATTTTCACCAAGATTGGTGCGCTGGTTACTTCGGTGGCGCCACCACACCTGTTCGGATATAAGAGGCTGGGAGCAATATTATTAGAACAGACCCTGGCCGCATGATCGGCGTCAGGTCACAGCTCAATATACAACCATGCTCGTCCAGCCTGCCAGGTTGTCGAGCGCATGACCAAACCATGGGCAGACCCGACAGCGACGCAGTCAAGAGCACCAGCAAAGGCGCTGCCGTTTACATGCAGACAAACTGATAGACCAAATGCATCGTGCATGTAGTCTTTTCGCGTCCCCGCCAACACGGACACGTCCACATCGATGCCGCCATTAATGCGTATCGCAGTCTTATCGAATTCAGCGCCGTGCTTTGGCGATGATATTTCCAGCTCCACAGTGCCTTCTATGCGAAACAAGAGAACGCACTGAAGTAAATGTGTCAATCTCGCTGAGGTCAACATAAGAATTATCGATAGAATTATAGACTTCTACTTGTACGAAGTGTGCCTATTTCATTTCCGTCCACTTGGCCTTTTTATCTCCCACTAGCCTGAGAAGCTAAAGGAAGCAAGGTAAACTCCTCCCTGGGAGGGAGGCTGAGCTCAATTCAATTAAGAATGCCCGAATGAAGGCCGACGGACCCAGAGAAGCCCCCCTCGGGCTTCCCAACGGGCCACCGGCCCGGTTATCCGTGTGGCGGGATAATGGACTAAGGTAACTTGGTTGGCTTAGCTTGAAGTTGGCAGTGCAGCTGGCTTGTATCTCTAGTATGATCTTATTATATCTACAGCGAGTGACGAAGGATATATATCTGGGTTTCCGTGACGTTGCTCCCAGCTGGGGGACCGACCGCGAACGGAGCCGTGCCATAGTTGAGTTAGGAGCAACTCGGGATATAATTCCAAGAGCAGCGGATTCGAGCGGACTCGGACTTCAAGTCGCGGTAAAAGCAATTATCGTGCTAGTTAGCGGCCTACTCTCTGGTTCCCCACCATCTTGGCCCTTGGCCCACCGGCGCACTTGTTTTGACTATCATCAGCAGGGGCCCGGCATTCCTTTTTTGCTTCTTCGACTGGGAACTTGGGATTTGCTTGCTCCTCGCCGGCCTTTGACCTGCCTCCCGCTTACACCGCGCTTAATCCACCGGTCCGCCACCTTAAACGCGCGATACACACCTCTTCAGAGACTCCACACCTTCCAGCGCACTACATTTCGCATTCCTGGAGATGAGAGTCGGAACAAATAGCCCGGGGTTGTTTCTTTTGTAGTTTCTTTTGATCGAATTTACTCAAATTTAAATGGTTGATGGGTATTATGATCAAAGCGCCTCCAGTGCAGCAGCGATAGATGCAGCAGCCCTTGTGGTGGGCTCATCGGGGGTTCTGTGTGGCACGTCCCCTTGCGACGCACAATCAGCTCCGAGTATCGCAGCAAGTCGCCTTGCAGATGGAGCCACAGCTGCCTTGCCCGCGCCTAGCACACATATCGCAGGACCGCCGTCGTTGATCACCTGGAAAGACACGGGAAAGTGAGTGCTACTTTAGAATATGCCTTGAAACGCCGGCAGTCACATCACTCATGTCGCAACCCGCATCAGTGTGGGCAATAGAGTTGAGTACGGCGAGACAATGAAACTGGAGGGCAGTCGCCTCGGGTACCTTGAGAGCATCGACTAGAGTTACAACATGTTCAGTTTTGAGGGCTTTGCGATGGTAGGCGTCGTAACACAGAGTATTTATCTGAGCAGCGCAAGCCTAAGAGGAAGATTTGTCGGTCGAGACTGTTGGATGGGTCACACACCTCAGCAACATCAGGGTATCTTGTCATCGTCACTTTGAGTAGCATAGCCAGCACAGATGTTGGTTGGGAGGATTGGAGAGCATCTGCACCTTGCGCATAACACAAAAGCGCATTGAGGGCGTGGACAAGGCGCAACGCTGTCTCTGCATGCAGTTCTCTTTCAGTCATGATAGTGAGGGCACCGCATAGGGTTGCAGCTGTAAAAGTTGCATCATCTGCTTCAGCGTCTAAATTCACGTGTGCTTCGAGGAGAGAAGCAACCAGGCGAGCGGCGGCAGCCTGGGCGATCCCTGGTTTGGCGTTCCTCAGGATGCCTACGGCCACATGAAGAATACCGTTGACGTTGGCAAGCGCTTCGCGCTGCGCACGTGGTCCTATGGCGATATTTGCTAGAGCAAGCAGGGCCTTCTCGGCAATATGCATCCGATTTTGCCTCGTGGCCTTCGGTGGAGGGTCTTGCTTTATATGGACCTTTTTGTCGGTGTGTTCTCTATGGACACTACCATCGTCATAAATTTGGTTGCAACTTGCAGCATTCAACGGCAGTCCTGTGGTTACAGGCGACACTATCTCCGCTGCTAGGGTTGCAAGGGCCTGAAGAAGATCATCGCTTGACGCGACATGTGCCGCAGCATCATCACCAGCATCTGCGAGGTTGACGACTAAGGACAACGCAGCAAATGCGAGAGGGCTAGTTTTGTAGGCTGTTGCCTGGACGACACAGGTTACCAGGGCTGGCATGAGACCGTCGTGTGCAAGGGCTGCGCGAGCGGCGCGGCTTTTTGCATTGCTCACCAGCGATGCGAGCAGTGTGCAACCAAAAGCGGCGTCAGAGGCCGCCGTCTTGCCGGGAGTTCCCTTGGCCTCAACCACAAGCCTTACAGCAGCTTCTACAGCGCCAGCACCAAGGAGATAGCGTGTTGCTTCCGCTATCTCAGCAGCAATAATTGCGATGGCGCGACGCGCGCGTGCACGAAGGCTACCCGGTGGTAGCGCCAAGAGTACACGCAGCAAAGCGGGAGTAGCTTTTGCGATAGCATTCACAGCGGCAGTATCTAGAAGGAGAGTGACGCCCTTAGAAAAAGCATCCACACAACGAATGCGGCTAGAGTCATCAACAGCGATCGCGTCAAGAAGTGAACTCATTGATGCAGGCAGACTGGGGGGACCACCCGATGGGAAAAAATCAGAATCAACACGAAACAGATGATCATGACCATCCGTGGCGTCATGTAAACGAGGAGCAAGCATCGAGATAAGAACCAGAGCACCAGGCTGTGTTGCATTGATATCAGTTGTGCTTTCAACTGTTGCCTCGGCAACGGCAATGATAGCAAGGCGCCCAAGAGCTGTAGAGAGTCTATTACGGGACATGAGCGTAATCGCCAGCGCCAAGACGGCCAGATCAGAGTCACGGCAGACGGCACACATAAAATGAACCGAAGCCTGAACAATATTCACATCCGATTCATCACGAGATGCCGCCGATGCCATCACGCAAAGCATCTCAATGATAGTGTCAGCAAACTTGGCTGTGATTGTAGGCGTTGGCATTGAGAGCATGAGCGGCCGGTGGAGCTCACCTACTTCGCAGAGCGCAACAAGGCACATAGCAGCGGCTGGCGACCGTGGTGCAAGCATGAGCAGGCGGGTCAAGACGCCACCTTGGATAGCGAGCGCCGCAGTGGTGCCCGCTGCATCCTCAACTATGATGTCCTCAAGAGCTGTACATGCACAATCTACCGCTGACAGGTGCGCTGTGATACGTTCAGCATCATCCAAAGGCTCGGGTGCCGTGATGAGTGACACGAGCGCAGCCATATCTGCACCAGCAAGCGCGGTGGTCTTGTGTCTGAGTTTGGAGTCGTTGGTCGTTCCACGACGAAGAAGCCACGCACCATATCTCTGTTCAAAATGCTGCTTTTCATCACTAGCAACTAGTTCGGCGGAAGACGGAAATTTCTTTTTTGCGGCGCTGATGGCTTCGTCTGGTAGGCGAGTAGACTCAGAAGCATAAACAGAGGACACCGCAGCCGTACGATCGTTAACCAAAACATCCAAAGGGCAAGTGTCGCCATCAAGGGTATCAATATCTGTTGGACCCTCCATTGTTGCTGGCGCATTTGCTAGGGCAGTGATCAACTCGTGAGCATACCGCATCACGAGATCATGCTGTGCCGTATCTACGCAAAATGGACGCCAGGCACCATTCAACACGTGGGTCAGAGCTGCAACAATCTTGCATTGTTTTGCTGCTGTGGCCAGCTTGCTAGCGGTCTGTGGCTCGCTAACAGTAACAGTAGGATGTGCAAAGTGCACGAGCGTCGAAAGAGCCAAGTGTCCACACTCAAAGCTAGGCGCATCATCAACTTGAACGATACAGAGAAATAGCGCGGCGAGAACCGGTGTTTCAGTAGTGGTGAATGCTTGGCGTGGGCTGTGAAAGCTCGAGAATGCTGACATTGCACTAAGAGCGGCAGTTTGCAGACTTGCAATACTGCCATCTTTGTCACGCATTGCAGCGACGAGCGCTAGAGCAACAGCGTCACAAGCACCTGCATCAGCAAGGGCACTTGCTCGACCCTCGGCATCTTTTGCAAGAGCTGCAATCGCAGTGAGACAGATGGCTGCACAACGCACGCCGAAATCAGACGGTGCAGAAAGCGGGGCGCGCGTTAGAGAAATGAAGGCACCAGCGCATCCTGTGGAAAAAGCGACGGCATCGCGTGCTGCGACACCCCCACGGCAACACGCAGCTCCAAGTGCCTGCAATGCCTTTTCTACGGCTATCGTAGCTCTAAGTGGCACCAACTCTGGCGTACATCCGCTACTGGAATGCTTCGCTGCCGCATCAGAAGCAACGATGCCACGCGAGAGATTATCGCCAAGTGCAGCTGCACCCAGGGCGACATCGCGATCCTCGCGCAGGGCGTATGTAGAGAGTACGGTAAATGCATCGACCGCATCCGCACGAATTATGGCATCATCGTCAGTCAGACATGCAGCTGCTACCCCAACAAGACCTGATTGCGCAAGAGCCTCTGCAATAGCATGGTGAGGCTCGGCCGTGGTGCTGATGCTGTCATTTGGCTGTTCGCAGTCGCTGCGTAAAAGCGATGCAAGAAGGCGTGCCGCTGCACGCCGCTTTTCACAGGGCTGAACTTCTCTAGATTCGTGCGAGAGGCCCGCTGCGATTGCCAGACCACAGCCTAGACTTTGCACGACATCACGTTTGCAAAGCTTCTCTGATGGGTGCGCTGCGCGACCATACGGTCGCGCTGCTCCGCAGAGCGAGCCAAGCGCGAGGAGGATTGCCGTCATGAGTGAGTCCACTAGGTGTGGGTGAGGTGGACCCGCATCCGAAATTGCGAGACCAGTCGAAACAAGACCATCAAGGAGCCCACAGAGCCTAGAAAGAGTATGACCATTGGGTGGTGCAGCAAGTGCGAGCACTAGGAGTGAACCTTCGTTACTATCACGCCAACACGCCATGATCAACGCATGCACGAGCATGGCTGAACGTGTGGCAACAAGACCACGGCAAGGGGTGTGGTCGAGAGAATACCCAAGACTTGCATCAAAGAAGTTGTGCGTTGCGAGAAGCTCCAGGATTCCAGCCTGTGCGGCCTCGACAGCAGGCCTAGCATCATGCTGACGTGCGCTAGCTGATACACACAAAGTGAGAGCTGGCAGCGCTGCCACCGCACGTGGTTTGCCTTCTCGTACCGCAAGGGACGGCGCAAGCTCGAAAGCCACAACAGAGACTAAAGCCGCCACCATACGAGCCTGGCTACCAACAAGACATTCTTCTGCCGCTCCAGGCGCATGTGCTAGAAGAGCTGCAGCAATTCGAGCTCCATCGTCACGCTTCGAATTTCCAGGTGATGCATAACCACGAGCTTCCGCACCTTGAAGTGTTGAGGCCTCAAGGAGTAACGATTGATTCAGCTCCATGCTAGTTTCAAACTCTGTCCCGAGCGCCTCGATGGCGACAGGGAGCGCGCCGGCAGCAAACAACCCCCTGGCAGCATCAGAAGCTGCTGCGGACTCAACACGATCCTCAGCCCCTGTCTGCTCGTCTACACAGTAGCACGCATCTGCCATGACACGGAGGGCATGAGCTCCGAAGCGTCGGTCACCGCAAGCAGTTACAAGCTGAGTAGAAAGGCGCACATCGCCACCAATCTCACTTCGAAGTACACGCCGAAATGATTTGCTGGAATAGCTCAGGGCTATGACTGCCTCCAAGGCGGCAGTGGCGACGCGCACATCGTCTCGCACTTCCAGAAGCGCAATAATGGAATGGCAAATCCCAGCGTCGATAGCGCCATCAACAAGCTTGCATAGTAGCCCCTTGGCTTCTTCAGATCCGACTGCCGATTTTGGCCAGGCAGCTTCAATTACCCCAGAGCAAAGTGAGATGAGGGCTGCAAGCGCATGCGAACGCACATCAGGTGATGAGGAAGACAGCAACGCAACAATTGTGAATACGCCACCAGCCTCAATGATGCTCTTCGAGGCTCGAAAGGGATCGCCTGCCAGGACCGGCGCCAACGCAGCCGCTGCCCATTGCTGCAGACCATCATCGGGCGCTATGAGGAGAGGCAGCAAGAGCAGTTCCACCCTCTCATCCACGAGAGTCCGCGCTGTGTAAGTCTCCGCACGAGCAGCAAAATATGTGCACCGTGCTGCCGACTCCTGCCCGGGCGCGCTTTTAAGGCATTCTGCCACTGAAGCTAGTGCACCGCATGATCTGAGAGCCTTCACAAGTGCGCCAAGTTGTGGTGACGTAGTTCCATCTGCGCCTAGTGCCTTGGCTAGTGTCTTCAGGGCTTGGGCTCTCTCTGGCGTCGGCGCTGCAGATAAGAGTGGCTTGAATGCCTTGGCCACGAGATCCGCAGATTTTGGCATGTTTGCTCCCGCTACGATGCACCTATCAAGTGACACACCAAGTAAGCACATGTGCAATATGGCGTGAGTTTCTTGCAGAGACACGGTATTGTCTGGCCAGCCTATCCACGCCGCGCGTTCTGCGTCATCCGCTGCGGCAAACTCTATCTCGCCCCTGCCAGTTTTGCCTGGGGGGGGGTAGCAACTGGTGCCGACGTGTCAGAAATGTCAGGGCGCAGACGGCGCACCTCCTTCGACAATAGACTCAGTACCAAGGTTCGCGGAGGTGATGCCAGCGATGGTGACCTTCCAGCGAAATATTTCGTCTTTCATGGATCGGAGCTTGCCTTGGCTCGAAGATTCTAGCAGAGTCGATGCAATCAGTTCCACCCGTAGCTCTGCTTTAGGACGTGATTCATCTGCGAATACGGCCAACGTCGACCCACACACCTGAAAGCTTCTATAGACATGAGATCGACACGAAGAGTCTAGCGCTGGCGCACACTCGGACGTAGACCTGACGCCAACCAAAACCTTTGAGTTCTTTGCGCATCTGTAGGTAACCTTCAAAATCGCCAGGCGGCGGTCTTTGGCCAAAGGCCTACCATCACAGTTGTTTAAAACCGACCTTAAAGTGTCAATCTGCGCGGAGAAATGCATCGTCGACCGCTTCGGGCGAGGAAGGCTTGGTCGCAGGGTTTGAGCGTGTTCCGCGTCGACCAAAAAATCCGCGTGATTTCCCGCTGATTGACTCTTTCGGTTCAATTTCCGACGACGCATCTTCTTCGGTCTGGAGCATCCGAGCGAGTTCCTCATCACTCATGGTATTCCCCGATGACGGCGCTGATACCGCAGACGCACTGGACTCCTCTTCCATTTGCAGCCGCCGCGCAAGCTGCTCGTCAGTCTCTAGGGACATCGGCGTTCCAGGTGAGGGACGCGTCCAGGACGTGGTTTTCGTGTTGTGGTCCACAAAGAACGTCCGTCCCTGGGCATCTGTTCGCGCCTCCCAACCATTCGGCAACATCAGTTTTCTTTAGTAATAATACTATTGTATCCTGATACTACAGTACAATAGTATTGTAGCAGGAACCGAAATGTTTGGCACTGGCGAGGAGAAAAAAAGAAAGAAAAAAGAGGCGCCGAAGGCGCCGAAGCCAGGCGGAGCGACGCGCGGACTCCCGCCGACCCGCCTTTAAACCCCGCGGAATTATCCGATTGCGGGACCTCCTAGTTCGCGCCTCGCCCGCGGCCGCTGACGGACAGCCCTCGAGGCCGATGCGCTTCCAGAACGACAGGTTGAAAAAGCAGATCGGGAGCACCTGGGCGACCTCCGCCGACGGCGGGTCCGCGATCGACCAGTGCTCAGGATGTCGAATCTGGCTGGACCAGAGCTCGTACTTCTCGATCATCGCGTTGTCGAGCCCCTTGACGATGTCCTCGAAGAAGCGCAGCGTCGGGGCGCCGACCGTGTTGGCCGTCCGCTCCATCTCCGCGCAGTCCGCGTCGAACTCCGCGGACTCCTCGTCCGCGTCCTCGCCTTCGGCGCGGCGCGCCAAGTCCGCGCGCTGCTCGCGGTTCCCGAGCGAGAACTTCTCGAACTCCCCCTTGGCGTCCTCCGACAGGCGCAGCAGCATCGTGCACCGGTCCGTGCCCTCGTAGAACTCGATCTCCATGCCCTTGCCGTCGAGCTCCAAGAGGCCCATGCAGAGGTACTCGTCGCGCGGGAAGTTCCAGATGTAGCGGCTCGACCGCTGCAATGTAAACCCCTCACAGTCGGCTAGATAGGTAGATATTTACACTGCCCGATATATCCCGGGATCTAGCAACACCAAGCCGGCGGGTAGCCTATGCATTCCCTGCTAGGGCGAGGCAGTGGGGGAAATCGAAATCGCAGAATTGTAAGGTGTTTGGGGTATTTCGGGTCCGCGAAGGGGTTCTGGAGGGGTTCTGGCGCGTGGTTTGGGGCGGGTCGCGCCTCCTAAGGCGTGGGCGGCGCCTCGGGGGTCCCCCGCAAGGCGTGGGCGGCGGTGTTGATGTCCATTTTGAAGGGCACGCGGCGGGGTCCCTGTTGAAGCGCAAGCCTGGGGTTTGAGGTGAAGCCCAAGTTGAAACGGCGTTTCACATATCCCGCTGGCGGGATATGTTACCAGAGGCGACAGCTAGGTGGGACCGAGCAGGCAGCTACGTACCTCGGGCTTTGCGAAACCGTTGCTCAGGCTCAAATTTACTACCACGCTTCGCGCGGGCAAGGGCTGAGCGGACAACGTCGTAGCCCCAGGTTTGACATGAACGGCAACTGTCGGTGACCTGCTCTCAACACGCGCCGCATCTCGAGCCCCGCATATTCGTGGATCCTTGGTCGGCCCATGACCGCGGACACACGGCCTGCGGGCGCGAGGGGTAACGGCCGCGACGACGTCTCACGGCGGGCCGCGGACACGAACCACGCAATTATTTTGTCCTTCGCCCGGCATGAGATAGCTGCCGTGTTCGAAAGACCAATCTTGACCACGGTAGGGGCATGATACGAGCCGGTTTAAGTAATATCATATCGTGAATTCTCAAGTGTCATACGGAATCATTACCACCAATTCCCAATGCCCGGATACGTAAGGGAAGCGCAGTCTTAATCCGACTTCCGGGGTAAGCGTGTCGCGGCACTGCAGTCTCAATCGATTCCTGGGGTAACCATGTCGCGTCAAAACCCGCAGTTGCCCTCCTTCCCCGGGCCAGCCACGGCGGGAGGAGGACGGGGAGCGGCTCGGCGTGCAAGCCTACGCGTCGTCGCCCGACTCCGGGACAAGGAGGATCTCGGGCTCCTCGGCGCCCTCCGGCTCGTCCTCGTCGTCGACTTGGATGCGTCCTACTAGTAGTCGATGCGTGAATGGCCGAATCGTACTCTTTCGACTGTCACCGTGAAACCGTAAGATTCCAATCTATCGGGCAGTCGCGGGACGTTCCATGATCCCCTCCTCCCTCCGAGGGAGGAGAGACCGAGGTCAGAATTTTGCGTCGTGTTTAGTTAAATATGGCCAATTTGCAAGACGGTAGCAGCAAATCAGCAAGGAGTGCCCAATATGAGCACCTCGGGCCCGCAAGGAAGCCGGAAGTGTGGCTTGGTACACATCAGAGGAACGCCAAATCCTGGATAGTCGGCCAACAACCTGGTAATCCGCAATCCGCTGATGCCGTAGGTAGGCTAGTCTGCTAAA